GTTCTCTACATGCATGCGATGATGATGCAACACTTAGCATTTATGTAACAACAACTCTTAAAATAAGAATACACATACTAAGCTACTAAGCTAGCTCTAATGACTAAGGTACTAAGCTAACTATTATTTTTACCAAGCAAAGTGTTGGGTTCACTAACAAACACTTAGCCTTACAAATAAAGAATATATCTTTATTTCTACTAATGATTTAATGTATATTGAAACAAAGAGCATCTAACTATCCTAATGTTTAGCCTATTCTAAAGCTACAAAAATTACAGTGAGCACATAATAATACCACGATGCTGCTATAAAATTTTTAGGGCCAAAGCTATCACCAATTTACCACAAAAATTTCTACAATAATTCTCCTAACAATATTAAACATTTTTAAATAATTTAATAGCTCCTGGTATCGACATGTACATGTATGAACTAAATACACTAACAGATAGAGCATAATTTTAGGAACTTAACAAAATTTGTTTCACAATTTTTGGACGACTACATGATTTTATATGATTTACCAAATATCAGCTCAAAAATTATATTAGAAAACTATTTCTAATTCCTTATGAAAAAGAAAATCGAATTCTCCCGCGCGGCCCACGCTACGCGCGCGGCGGCCCGCGGTGCGGCCTATGCACGCAAGGCGACCCGCGACGAGGAAACCCGCGCGCGCCGGTGCTTTTGCATAAATGCCCCCGCGCTATCCTCTATTAACACGACGACTATGTGCACTATTTCTACAGACAACATTTTTGCAAGAAGGCCCTCGTAATAACCCGTTTTCGCATCGGAGAGCGCGCAACAATGGGCAGCGATTTGGAGACCGAGGACGAAGCAGGGCGACCTCTCCATGTCGACGGGATATAAATATTAATATTTTGCATTTTGGCTAAAATTAAGTTAGTTTGACCTAGATAAATTCTATAGTTACATATTTTTATGTACTGATACTGTATAATAGTACTTGACTACTATACTTGGCAAGTTGGTGGAGGCAGGAGGCTGGTAAGCAAAAGTCAAGGCTGTAACCAATCTCTGCTGGCGGGGCCAGTGAAAGGAAGTCAAAGACTCCAGGGTCTTCACCAATCTCGTGTGGCATGATGTGAAAGTAGTTGGGCTGTGGGACCCACTCCTCGGGACTGCAAAATTTTATACTCCTTTATTCAGCTCCAAGGGTTTCGGGGTCCGAGCTGAATTTTGTACTGGTAAGTACCCATCAACCTCCAGAGGTTAAAAATTCTAAACCATTGAGATCTGATGAGAACAGCAAAATTGCAAATGACCCCAATAGGCCAATACCCCATCCTCCAAAGGCTAAAATAATCTCGTGGTCGGCCACCACATTGGTGCGTGCTTTATCATCCTTTCCCTTTTCTTTTTGTTTTCCAATCCTCTTTTCGCTAAAACAACTTTTATATTTCCCTAATCCGTGTGTATATATACAAAGACAAGTGGCGTTAACTCGTTAAAAAAAAGACAAGTGGAGTTGATGGAAAGTTCGTCAAAGGGATAACCATTGGGCCATGTGCTCGACCATGTGCACGGTGCACCTTTGCTTCAACACTGGAACTTGTATGCATGCATGGATACCTTTTCTTCTCCAACGCTGGAAACACGACGTGGCTGTACAAATCCTGCAACGCCTGCTGTCGTGTTACGCTTTCATTCTACGCTCGTTCTAAACACACGGAAAATCCATTCAGTTTTTTAAGTTAGGAAAATTTACATTTACTAGACAAGTTGGCCAATGGGACGTGACAGCAGATTCTCAGCCGGGTGTCGTCCGGCACGTGCAAACCGGATTCCGTCTCTGAACGCGAGGCCATCTCGGCGTCTTCCAAGCCGAACCACATCGTGCGCGGGTGAGCCGGGAACTGACACGTCGCTACAGCACCACCGGCCAGCGGCATGGCGGCATCTGACAGACGGGACGGAAGAAGACTAGGTGAAATTTTATACCTCAGCCAATCACCGACCTTACCCACTAACGATGCATAAACAATTAGAAGTGGATCGATTCTAATAAAAGAGCGGACTCTTTCTTCCTTTCGCTACAGCCAAACTAAGCTAAGGGCGCGTTCGTTTCGCTGAAAAAATATAAAAAATATTATTCCGGTTAAAAAAACAAGTCAAAAAATACAAATTATATGAGCGACGACTACGACTCCTCCTTTTGTTGTTTTCTGGCGACGTGGTGTAGCTACGTGTCTAAGCTATATAGAACAAACATATTTTAAAAAGAAAGCGTAATTCTAGCTTTGAACCTGGACAATGAACAAAGAGAGTACATATTATCATCTCCATATGTAACTTTTTCTTTTCGACGAGTCAATTAATCTCAAACCCAATATCTTGAAAAGATTAACAATTAGAGCGAAATGTACCATGAGTCGTGAGCTCAAGGGCAAGACATAGGTTGAGAGCGCCGATAAGACGACGACGTGCATGCTAACCATGGGTCGGGACAGAGTTTAAGGGCGACTATGTGGGGAAGCCGTGGCGCTCAGGCAAAGCTCAATGGACAATGTCGACGACGTTGTAAGAGAGATTAGGCCTGGTGGGCATACCGCGATAAACGTCCGGATCAAGCAGTGGCTGTTTTTTCGCCAAAAAAAAAAAGTTGTGGCTGTTAAGGTGGCCTGGTGCATGACGAGAAGAAAATGCAAGGAGAAAGAAAGAAAACAGAATGACATGTATGGCTTGGTCTGACTGCTTGCTGGCGATAAATGAACCCGACAGGCGGCGGCAACACCGAGCGATCGGTAAAAGCGGTGGCTTTGGCTGCCTGTTTTCTCCGGCCCGCTGTATAAAAAAGCTCGCTCCGGCGGCGGCTGGGTGCTGTCGATGGTGGGTTCCGCGGTGTTGTTGAAGCTGAGAACCGCGGGCAGGGGATGGATATATAGCGGCGGGCGCGAGCGGTCTGGAAGCTTCGGTCAATGCGAGTCGGCGGCTGCGGGAAAGCGGAGGTGGGTTCGCGGAAGGTGGGGGAGGCTCGTGGACGGCCGCCTCAGCGCCAGCGGCCCCGGGATTGGACGGGTCCGCGCGGGTGGCGTCACGGCCGACCTCAGCTGAATTGGGACCGATGCCTTTTGCACGCCGCGGTTGCTCTCGGGCGGCGTGGTTCTTGTGTGGCCGTGCAGCGGCGCAGGTGCAGCAGTGCAGGAGGCACCGTTTCATTCATGGCTGCGGGCAGGCACCGCACCGCCGCACCGGCGCTGGATGCAGAGAATTTCGTCCTTTTGGGGGCCGGGTGCATGGCGTACTAGTTTGTGATGAGAAAATGAATTACACATGTCTCCAGTACGTGTCGGGAGACAGAAAAGAGGGTGTGAGGTGATAGATACATGCGTGCGTTGTCAATGAACGGGAGTGATACTTATCGGTTCGAATTAATTTCATTTCATTTTATTCATTCTTCACGAGCCACAGCCTGTGTGAACCGGCCGAGAAGTGGTCCGTTCACCGAGAGCATTCGTCGTGTTAGGAGTACATACAAGCGTGGCGTGTTCCTTTCACCGAGAGGATTCGTGTACCCTGCCGGTAAGCGATGGTGCCTACCATCGACTGTACTCTGTGTAGATACTGCTACAGGAGTGTAGTTGCAGCACGCAGACGGCAGACGAGCACACAAAAAAAAGGCAGGCAGGCGCGGATAACCCACTACTACTCCCCATCATGCATTTCGTCGGAATCGCGACCACCTATCGGGGTGCGGCCACATGCACGCACGCTGGGCATGCATCCAGAAGATTCCCCCGCTGCCTCAGCACCCCTATCTATCCTCTCGTCCCCGGAATTCGCCACGCAAAAATTATATACCCCTATCCCTACAACTAAAACATTCATAACTATTTCATCCACAGGTGCAACACCAAAATCGCTCCATGCGATCAGATCAGGAAAGTAACGCCCACTCGCTCCGTGCAATCAGCTCAAAAGGAAGGAAACAAAACTCGCTAATAAAATAAAAGATATCTTTCCAGCTCTGTGTCCAGCGTCCTCCCCGCGACGAGGCCTCTGAAGCTCTCTCCTCTGTTCCCTCTCCTCCCCGCGGCTCTCCTCTGCCCCGCTCCGCTAGGGTTTTGCCGCCAACCTCTCGCTCACTCGCTTGCTTGCTTGCGGCTCCGCGAGGCAACCGTCCGACCGGTCGAAATGGTGGATGTGGAGGAGGTCGGGAGCAAGATGCAATCGCAGATGCGCCTGCACGCCGAGCCGGAGGACAACACCGCCGACCTCCCTGCCGGCCCTCTTCGACTGGGCGTCGCGGCTCCACGCCCTGGCCTCTAGCTCCGCCCTCGACCAGGTGCCTACACCCCCCCCTCTTCTAGGAACTGGGATCGCCCCCGGCCCTCCTCCCGCTCACCAAGAGATAGAGATCGGGCGGCGGTGCTTACGCTGCTTGGTTTTTACGCCGCACGGGGACGGGATCCGCCACGGGGTTGATCTCTGCTTTGTGCGCGATGACGAGATGGTTAGCAAGATCGGCCTCTTCTCCCGCAACGAGACCAAGGAAGACGTCTCCACTGCAAACCTCAAGTATCTACTGATATGTCCGTCCCCTCCCCCTCAATTGGTCCCCATGCAAGTCCGTGGCACAGGTTGTGATGGTACAGATGCCTGGTCAGTACAATTGGAAATCACGCCCGGCCAGTTTTATTCAGTTGTCAGTACAATCTCTACAACTAAAACATTCATAACTATTCCGTCCACAGGTGCGACACAAAAAACGCTCCATGTGATCAGATCAGGAAGGCAACGCGCACTCGCTCCGTGCGATCAGCTCAAAAGGAAGGAAACAAAACTCGCTAATAAAATAAAAGATATCTTTCCAGCTCTGCATCTAGCGTCCTCCCCACGACGAGGCTTCTGGAGCTCTCATCTGTTCCCTCTCCTCCCCGCGGCTCTCCTCTGCCCCGCTCCGCTAGGGTTTTGCCGCCGACCTCTCGCTCGCTTGCTTGCGGCTCCGCGAGGCAACCGTCCGACCGGTCAAAATGGTGGATGTGGAGGAGGTCGGGAGCAAGATGCAATCGCAGATGCGCCTACACGCCGAGCCAGAGGACGACACTGCCGACCTCCCCCTGCCAGTCCTCTTTGACAGGGTGTCGCGGCTCCACGCCCTGGCCTCCAGCTCCGCCCTCGACCAGGTGACTACACCCCCCCCTCTTTGGGAACTGGGATCGCCCCCGCCCCTCCTCCCGCTCACCAAGAGATAGAGATCGGGGGAGCGGTGCTTACATGCTTGGTTTTTCTACCGCGCAGGACGGGATCCGCACGGGGGTTGATCTGCTGCGGTGCTGCGACGAGATGGTTAGCAAGCTCGGCCTCTTCTCCGGCAACGAGACCAAGGAAGACGTCTCCACCGCAAACCTCAAGTATCTACTGGTATGTCCGTCCCCTCCCCCTCAATTGCTCCCCGTGCAAGTCCGTGGAATAGGTTGTGATGGTACTAGATGTCTGGTCAGTTTTATTCAGTTGTTAGTACAATTGGAAATCACGCCCGATCAGTTTTATTCAGTTGTCAGTACAATTGCAAAAAAGAAGAATGAGTCATCAGTTCCAAATGGAAAAGATAATCAGGCCATTTTATTCCAGTACTGCCCTTTTTCGTGACATTAAATGAGCCAGCACGTTGTTTAGCTTTTTAGATATCAACAAGACAATAACTTATTTATGTTTGTCATTTACAGACTACAGTGGGTTTTTTCCGAGACGATTTGGCAAGGAGCAGGACCTTTTGCCTAGCCTTTTCGTATCAAATCAATTATGCATCATTGTTAAAAAAAAAAGTTCAGTACTGCATCTTTGTTTCAGTATCCTTGTTATATAAAATTGATGCTCATCTTTAAGCTATTAGCTCAAAACAATATTTTGCTAAGATAAAGTAGATTTTAGTGTCTGGTGACAAAACGTCAATTTCTTGATGCTCTTCATGTTGAAATTTCTTCAGCTCACAACGTAAAATTGATGCTTATCTCATTATGGTTTTCATGTAACAGTGATAACTGGCTAAATAAAATGTTATTGAAATTATATCGTTTTTTTTTGGAACAATGAATTATCACAGTATTATTTTTCGCACTCAAAGCAAATAGTCGACGGCTGTCGATCTGTGTGTGAGTGTCTATTGATCACGATTGCGTTTGTCACTCTGGCACTGCACGCGTTGAGATGGCCAGGTATTATTTTGTTCCCGTTGCAACGCACGGGCATGATCCTAGTTAAATTTAAAAAGATATCGTACTGTTGCTCCGACGGTTAGCCTATGCGTAGGCGTAGCGGCACCATCCCCCGGATCCCCTGCCAGTCCCACGCCCAGCGTACGTGGAGACCAAGCCACCGCGCCGCGCCAGACACATGCCGGCTGAGGACGACGCCGACGACAAGCGCGGCAATGATAGGGCCAATTATTATATTAGTACTAGGTAGCGTGCCCGTACGTTGCTATGGGACAACTAAACTTTTGTACTAAAAACACGGATCGCATGATAAGATAACAATCCTGTAAAATTAAATACGGCCGTTAAAGTGACATTTAATTTAAAAAGCAAAGTTTGTGAAATTAATACGGTTATGGAGAGCGCGGCGTCGCAGGCTCACCAACTCTATTGTATAGACCTTTCCGTGCGTTGCAACGGGAACAACGAAAAATTTCACGTGATGTATGTTGCTTGGTATTATTCAAGGACTCCGTCAAGCCAAAATTAAAATATTTAGAGTTCATATCTCTGTGTTGCTAGACGTTTCCATTTTGCGTTGTTTTATCGAGAAACTTCGGGTCTGTTTGGATGTCTTAAGAAAAATAAAAATATGGTGGAAAAATGAGAATGCGATCTAAACAATTAGACTCTAGAATTAGATTGTAAAATCCAACTTCTACCACAAACCTCTACTATTTGACGATTTGCACTATGCTAAGGCAATAATCACTGTGAGAATAAGATCCAAACACTCATAATTTTATCTAGAATCCAGATTCACAATTTAGAGTCTAAAATATCGCTACGAGGATGAGATCCAAACATTCCCTTCGTGTCATCCAAATATGCAATCCATGTTACCAATCTAAACCTCGTAGTTTCTGATTGAGATCAGGCCCAGTGCCGAGCTACTTATTCTCAAGTCTATTACCACCAAATAATAGCAATAAAACTTATTATTCATGAAAGAGGATGATAAGTACTAGCTTAATATAAAACAAGGCACAAACTGTGTTTAGCACATTGTGATTGCCAAAAAAAAGCACGCTTGTGCCTCAATCAATCCTAAATGAACTCGTGCTAACGCCACGGCGATATTTAAACCACCAAAATATTATAATCACCACCAAGTTGAGTCTCCCCATTTGGAGGCAAAAAATATTCAAGGGAGATGGCTGCAGTGACTAAATCGATGCTATATAATGACATCACATGAACCTACATTTAGGTGATAAACATGCTATTTGGCATATATGTGGTCGGACTCCAAACCATGTGCGTAATAACACAACATATTTAGGAACAATGGACACATGCCAAAAATCAATATCACGGGTCAATCAAATGGCAGGAACTGAATTCATGGCTAATCCCAACAAAGAAACAGGTCACTTGCCTACAGGTAAGGACAGAGCATTGACACATTTATAAAAGAAACCTAATCAGAAATAAATAATCTGTTGCTAAGTTGACTATACCACTTTCATTTTTCGGATTACAGTGATAAATCATGAAAATCACTCTATCAATAAAAATATATAGTTGTAACCAATCAACTATTTTCTGCTGCAGTTCTAATGGCCTGATCCTGAATTATCATATAAGAATATAGTAAACTATCACAATTGTGACATACAAAATATAGTAACCAAAACCTCTTCTAATTACAGCACATCAAAATGGAAATTGGATAAAAAAAATTAACTCACAGACTATACATCTACATACACACCAGGACCAAACATAACTATTTCCCAACAAGAAATGTACCAAGATCGGCTATAGACAGTAGCACAGATCAAATGAGAGGACTGCAGCCTTGCAAGCATGTTTAGGATGGCAAGTTGATAGTACAAGGTCTTCTTGATCCAGTAACCCCAAGAAATCCTAGCCTTCTTCTTCTTACAGTTCGATTAAGACTCCAAGCTGCAAAATCACAGATTCGGCATAAATGGTTTTTTTAGAACAAACGGTTTTATTTCAACAGCATCTTGCTGATAGTAACCTTACAGAGTTCAGGCGTACAGATTGCAATGCCTGCATTAATGGGCGTTAGTTTACATGATGGTTGTAGCAACAGGAAGACTCTAAAATTAAAATACGTAGATCAGAGTCTGTGAGAGCCTATCTAGCTAAGCATAAATGGTTTATATAAGATATATATGGACAGTGCACCATTTCATTTTAAATAATCTATACGTCAGTTCCTTTGTTCTAACATGAAAGATCGACAAAACAGCAACATATAAAAAAGCAGTGTGCTAGAGACATCCGTCACCTTTGCATCCTCTGTTAGAGAGGTTAGCCACCAGCAGGATCAGCTGCGTTCAACCTGTCGACTGTCATCAAATGTCGTGTCGTGATCAACAGCGCAAGCCCCGCGCAACTGCGCTATGCCATAAATCATCGCCTGGAGTACCTGTTCCCAAGCGTCCATGACGAGCTACATTAGGAAGTGAACCAATGAGAAGGAAAAAATCATAGAAAATTAATAGATAAACTAATATGGGTAAAACCTCTACATCTCATACAACTATGAGGCTGTGAAAAATGAAGTACCTCTACTCCAAGAGGCTTTGATTTGTCCCAAAGCTTTAGCTGCACCGAATACAGCTACAGAGCCTCTCATGTCTAATTTCATCGGTTCGATGCTGCAGCTTGGCCCGGTCTTAATGTTGTAGCCGCCACTAGATTCATAGGCAAATCGCATAAGAAAAATAACAAACTATTTCACCTTCATGTCTACTTCTAGTCTTTCATAAAGCCACTAAAAATGTTGCAAGTACTACAAAGTACAAACCTGTCAAAAGTTAAACCCTTCCCAACAATAGCCAGCTTTCTTTTGACGTTCCCATCAGTGGGTTTGTAACACAATAGCAACTCCCAAGTAGGAACCCATCTTCAACTCTTTGCATTTCTCTACATCTAGTATTGTGGCAGCGAACACATCACTATAAGTAGAAGCGATCTTTGATGCCGCCTCCGCAACACAGCTGAAAGGACAAGGGATGACTGTAATAAGTATACTGACAATAATTCTATGAAGAACAGTCAAAGTTTGATGAAAAATCTACTGACCAGGGGTAAGGACAGGAGATTTCATAAGCTCTCTTCCGAATATCACACCCGATGAAAGATCATTAGCATACTTGTTTCTGATCCACCTCTGCACCATAACCCAGTCCAATAATATCAACCTGTTTTAGGTGCACCTTTTTTATTCAGACTTGTATTTGCTATCCTCATAGCAGAGGACAGAACCATTGCCATTAAGCTTCAGCAGTTTATCATGCAGTCTATCCATGGCAAAACTTTAAAACTCTTGAGCGTCTTCCTGCCTAAAGAGCGCAAAAGTGCATATAGCATCACATAGAACTGCAAGCGTAGATGCAGTAAAGGACATGGGTATGCACATGCACGCATGATAATCTTTGAAAGGGAACGAAGTTAGCAGGCATAAATACATGTCCGACCACCTTCGTGTGGGCCGACATCATGTTGCAAGGGTGATACATCTATGTGATGTTATTAAAGAATCATCTTAGCCATTCTCTAAATTTATGGGTGTTACCCGCTGGAAGAAGGGGATCATCATCGCCACCACCAACTATGACCGGCACTACTGAGTGTTGCCATGATGCACTCTGTTCCCATCATTACTGCATCAAAGAAAGTCACTTTGATCAGCAAACCAAGAGGTACGGTGGAACTAAGATGGTTACAAACAAAAGAGATAAGCATATACAAATGCTTACTGTTAAGCTACCAAGGCAGCCAGGAAACATCAATATAGTTAGCGTCTTTTTTCTGATGCAACGATTTGCATGGCATATTAGTTGGAGACAGGGTACAACTCATTATCGTATTCATATTGTTCCAAACCAAATCATTGAAATGATGCAACGGTTTGCATGTTGTGTTAACTGCAGACAGGGTACTGCTCACCTACATTTGCCACACCATTGTACCTACACCGAATCACCCATCTTCAACACGTCAGCCACTACAGTACAGAAAGCTGCAATCATGATGATTGAAACATCAATATTACATAAGTCTATAATAAAGATTCAAATCACATGCAGATCTGAACTTTTTTCTTCAGATTCAAGCCAACTAAATCACATGCAGCCGAACTATTATATTCTAATATCATACAGGGATAAACTATGACTCAGAAGTCCATAAAGGTGAATTCATAATCACTGGAATGGTATAACTGAGACAGTGCACAGCTGGCCACTTTGCGTGCTCATTCAGAAATAAATTAGAACATGTCAATTTGATATTCTCGATTATCTATTATATTCTTGTTCACATCATAAAAAAGTGGTCATTAACCTTCACAATTTGTGTGACAAGTAAGCAACTTCTAGCTTTGTGTCCTGGCCGTCAGTAAAACATAAGTTCGGTGACTTACTGCCAGAAGAAAGCTGACATATCTAAAAAAAACCTAAGCACCTGAAACTCATCAAACTTATCTACTACTGCATAGTGAATTCAGTAACAGGTAAGCACAGGGGGAAAAAACTTTGAGTTTTCCCTACCTGATCATATCGTTTAGTAACTGATGGATGAGCTTTCTTTATTTATCTGATATGCTTTTAAGTAGCTGACATTCTTCTGTTTATCTTGGACAACTCAAGACATGTACTAATTCATCACCTGTACTGTAAATGTGCAAGCATGATCTATGCCCAAACATTAGTTAATGGCAAATGTATAGCCCCACCAACAAAAACTTCTCCTAGACAAGTCGCTGTGCAACCATGATAATTCTAAGATTGATCCAGTAACTAAATGCACAGCGAGCGAGCGAGCGCTAGCTGACAGCCGCCTCTCATCGGGTCTTGGCTCTTCGGATTGGCCAATATGCCATGTTCCACTCTATTGGAGCACGCACGAGCTAATTGTATAAGTCGAAGTACTATTCTGTCTGTTCAAAATGTAAGTCATTTTGGCTTTTCTAAATTCATAGTTTTTATTATGTATCTAGACATGGTGTATATCTATGTGTCTAGCAAAAACTATGTAATTACAAAAACAAAAATGACTAAAAATTTAGAACAAATGGAGTACTCTTAATTTTATCCAATATTTATGTTTTATCATTGTTTTTTCTTATAAAGAAGCCAATATAAAATCATGCTAAATAATTAATGTTTATACTTTGGTTTGAGGAAAAAAATTAATGTTTATACTTACATGCATCTTAGTTGAATATAACATGAATAGAACACTTGCAGAAAGCTCAAAAAAATGTTGCACAATAGGAAGATGTTACTGGAGAAGATGCAAGCTCATGGAGAACATACTGCAGATACATATACATCCGACATGTATACATTTAGACAGTGGGCAAGCAGGAAGAAAACAGTAATGGAACTCTCAACTCTGTAACATTAATCTTTATAAACAGCATGTGATAATTAGTTAATCGCAGAACATTACCTCTGCACAGTCATATTCTTGCAATCTCCGGTCAACCTTCTCCACATCTCTGTAGCTTACGCAAAATTGTGTCGACTTTATTTCTGCAAGAATTATATTCACATTTTAGATTTATATTCAAAATTCAGATTAAATTATTATTTCAAACTGGATGAAAACAAGAAACAATAATATTTCAAACTTCTTATTGTTGCGATCAAAGAAGAGCCGACTATAGCTTGCATATCTATATAATATTAGAACCCAAAGAAGAAATGTCCTCACGTATCTATATGCTCAGAAGCACTATTGAAGAAGCAAAGTTCATATTTCGGCAAACTGAGCAGTCATCTCTAGATAATGAAAAAGGGCCATCTCTACGACTCTACCTGGGCGCCGCGGAGGTCGGGTGCAGCGTCATCCAAGAGCTCTTTCCGAGTGAAGACCATGGCGAGGAAGATGTTGACAGCGTGAGCAATCCGAGAGTCCACCGTGATCGATGACTAGATGGAGGACGTGATTGGACGCTAAAACGGAGAACACTTGTAATTGGATCAGATCCCAATAAACATAACCTGCAAAGCAGATCAAAGCACACGCAACTGCAGGCACGCATCCAATAAAGGACATTTGGTGTGCACATGAACGACTGATAATCTTTGAACGGGATCAAAGTTAGTTCGCAGCGAAGAGAAGGGGTGGCATACCTATTGGGTGATCATTTCCGGCTAGCGATTGGCGCCTGGCGGCGTGGAGCAGCAATGGCGCGAAGCAGCGAGCCAGCGATGGCAGGGCAGGTCATGGAGGTGGTGGTGTTTTCAGCGGCGTGGAGGCGGTGGCGCGTTCAATGATTTGTCATGTCACCGTCGAATAGACTTTTCAGTGTCCTTCAAAATAGTGATTGAAGTCTAAAATCAAATAGGCTTTTCAGTCATTGAATCTAGGCTCTCCAATATCCTACGATGTAGGCTTTTCAGTGATTCTGAGTAGACTTTCTAGGAGCATTTACAACACAATATAACGGCTATCAAACCTGCCTCCGCCTATATATATGCGTTCTAGGATGTATTGCTAACCAAAAGAAAAACCAAACTAGTATTCGATTTTGTTGGAGTAGGATATGTCTGGAGGGTCATACAGAGAAAAGGGTTTTGAGAGTGGGAGAGGAAAGGGGGGGACGAAGGGAACTCCCATTGTGTGGGAGGTATCTCTAGGCCTAATTTCTTTGAGAAACTAGTGTATCAGTTTTTTCCCTAGAGCAAGAGTGGTTTTACTAAAGAGTGCCCTCTCAGAGGATACGATAACAGGAAGGAAGATTGGCCAAAATGCATGTGTGGTGAGAACTGCTTAGTGTAGATGTTCACCGAGGGGATCGACGGAGGTCGTCGCTTCCTCAAATACCCGCGAGTATTGGTAATTGCTATTACATTTCGTTTGATAAATATGTTTCTCGAATACCCTTACAACTCACAGGACATACTTATTTTAGTTTTTCGAGTCCGAAAAAACTATGGGTTCACTAGGTGGGTCGATCCTTGACCAATTTATTCGCATCAATAGTACATCTACTACCTGCAGGACCAAATCTTCGATGTACAAAGAGAAATTAGCAGCGGGTACAAAGAAGACGAAGACGGCGATGACAATAATGGTGCAAGTTCACAGGAGGCACTCTGCAATGATCCATATTGCACCTGTCCTAATCACAAGAATAAGGGGCCTCCGCCGTCACCCCCGCCGCCACCACCACCAATAATGGGAGGCTACTATGGAGATGGTGTAACCTAATTTGCTATGTGGCCACACTACTAAGACAACCCTATCTTATTTACATGGCATATCCATATGTTTGTTGTTTGGTTTAATTACCTAAGGCATATTAGGTTTAGTCGAAAGAACTATGTACCCTTATTTGGTACATGTTCTCACATGCCATTTCTTGTGCTTGTTGTTCGCTTCAATTACCTAAGGCATGATAGATTTAGTTCAGGACCTCTATACCCTAGTTCGGTACATGTTCTCACATGTCATTTCATGTGTTTTATGTGTTGAATTATATAATGCCCTACTTCGTTAGGTTTTGTTTGCAGCACGTGATCACATTTCACTACGTCCGCAAAATTAAACGGAATATTATAACCACAAATAATGAAAACAACTACATAATAAAAAGTCCAATACTATGACACATTAAACAACACAATAATACTAGAAGTATGTGCCGACAAACTAAATAACATAGTACATGACCTAAGCATGTCCATGCTTAAAGTGCATTACATGACAACACAATGAAAAGTCCAACAGTAGATAACATTATTCATGAATAAACCATAGAACTAGCAAGTAATGGAGACTACTGAGTGCAACGAGACCACTTTTCCTTCCTCAGGGCATCGAGATTCTTCTCCATCGCTGCTTTCGCTTGGCGTGCATTCTCAAGCTTCTTCTCCCTCTCCTCCCCGTACGCAGCAACACACCTCCTTTCCTACTCTTTCTTGCGCTCCTTTTTTGTAGCCTCCTCTCCTCGTCTCTTCTCCATCATCTCCTTGTCCCCTGCCTCCCACCGCAACAGTTCTGCATCTATTCCTTGTCTTCAGGCTTGATTTCAGTGTCGATCCACTGCTTAAAATCACAGAGCGGTGGAGGGGTCTATAAAAAATACAATTGTTACAAAATAAAAAAATCATGCAAGATGTCATATGACACAAACATCAATTCCTCACCATCTTGTTAATGCGGCGCTGACGAAGTGTAGGCTCAAACGCAAAATTGGAACACATCCAATACCTTTGCCTATACGTGTCCTCTTCATCGAACTTGGCTACTTTGCAAGGATCGCCACAAAAGCACATGGGCACTGGAACACCACTAGGCAGAGGCAATAGATCGAAGGCATTTTCGGTCATCCGGCCATAACTACAATTTAGCCATTTTTGTTCTAAGAACTGAAAGTAATTAACATTAAACTCTACACATAGGGTTTCCCATTCGATCCACAACAATGAACCCATATCATAACAACATGCGCTGAAGTTATCTTGGTTTGGTAGCTGTCGGTGTTTCGAATAAACACCAACTAGTAAATTTATATTTGTTGCGCGTTAGGCCCGGATGGTGTACTAAAGGACACAATGTTTATACTGGTTCGGGCAGAATGTCTCTACGTCCAGTTTGCTGCTGCTCGTGTTATTAGCACTGAAAAAGGTTCGTAGTAGGGGGTACAAACGGTCGAGAGAGGGACATGTCCTAAGTCTCTGATGGAAAGGTCGAAAGGATGCCAAGAGCTCAGTTGCTGCTTGGCTGTGTGTTGTGTGAAATCGATCCGTCCCCCTAGTGGGGTGTCCTGCCCTCCCTTTTATAAACCAAGGGGGAGCAAGGGTTACAGATGGGAGAAAGAGGAAAAAACCAGAGATAGAGAAGGTCCTTCGAAGGTACCGGGTCTTCCTTTTTCCTTGAGCCTACCCTGCTGACATGGCAGACGATGCCAGGGATAGCATGTTCGCTGATCCTGATACGGCCGTACTCTGGCCTCATTTCAGCAGGTGGTCACGTCCCATCCTACTCCGGCGGACGGTGCGACGTGCCAGGGTGCTGAGCCGTGACCCTACGGGGAGCAAATGGGGAAATGACTATACGTCCATACTGTAGATGATGCGAGTTCTCTCCTGGATTGTAATGGTTGTCGTATGCTTATGTCAGGATCCACGTCCGAGGGTTGATGGCGGCGCTTACAACACTGTGAGACAAAAGTCGACGCCTACAACACTGTTCGGACTCTGTCATTCCTAGAAGGGCTTAAAGCGCCGTCTCGTCATATCCTGATGGTACTTTCCCGCATGCGTACAGGGTATGGTCCTCGGTACTACGTTTGACTTGAGTGTCCTGTCCTACCCTGTGCTTATCATTATGAAGTAATAGGGTGCAGACGTTGGGCGAGGCAAAGCCTGCTCCAGAACGTCGGGTGAGGCGGAGCCAGCCCTCAAACGTCGGTCGAGGTGGAGCTAGCCCTTGGATGTCGGGTGAGGCGGAGCCTGCCCCCAGACGTCGGGCGAGGCGAGGTCGGTCCCCGGTCGTCGGGTGAGACGGAGCCCATCCCTCGGGGGTCGGGCGAGGCGAGGCCAGTCCTCGGTCGTCGGGCGAGGCAGAGCCAGCCCTCAGCCGTTAGGCGAGGCGGAATCTGCCCCCAGACGTCGGCGCGAGGCGGAGTCCAACCCTCGGGGGTCAGGCGAGGCGGAGCCAACCCTTAGGGGCCAGGCGAGGCGCGGCCAACCTTCGGTCGTATGGACAAGAAGTGCAGTTGCATTCTTGTCTGCTTGAAAGCATCAGCGTTTGATGGTTATTAGCTCCTCCTCTTTAGGTATCCCAGTATTCGGTCCCCGACAGTAGCTTTTCCACGCCTTGGCATCCTACTGTTGTATAATATAAATATTAAAATTGCATGAAACCCTAAGTAATGACGATTCTTAAGTTGAAAAATCCGACTAATATATACCAAATCGACTTGAAAAAAAACTAGGAGGAAGTGATGATACCTTGCTCTCGAAGATCTACGGATCAAATCATAGTTTTCATGGTCCAATATACCGATTCGTGAGGTAGTGCGAAGTGGGGAGAGAAAAAACCCGAGAGGGAGGAGGAAGAAGAGGAAGAAGGCTGGGGCAGAAAGGTTGGGCGCCGAGTTAAAACACCACCTCGGCGCCATAGATCTTGGCACCGTTCTCGGCGCCAAGCTTGGCGCCAAAAACCACGGCGCCAAGCTCGGCGCCAAGATCTATGGCGCCGAGAAAGAAGGCTAGGGCAGAAAGGTTGGGCGCCGAGTTAAAACACCACCTCGGCGCCATAGATTTTGACGCCGTTCTCAGCGCCAATAACCACGGCGCCAAGCTTGGTGCCAAAAACCACGGCGCCACGCTTGGCGCCAAGATCTACGGCGTCAAGGTCGGCGTCAAGATCTACGGCGTCAAGGTGCCTGCCAAGTCACCGCCATGTCTGCGCCAAAGCTAGGACCTAGGCGCTAAAATCTATGGCGCCGAGACGTGTAAGCTCGGCACCACCAACGATGGTAACGATGGTGCCGAGCTAAGGGTCCAGATTTTGAAAGCATATCTCCAAAGACATATTTGTGATTTTTAAAAAAAAAAGGCTAAAAAAAAAAAAAATCAGTAGATCCTACTTATCAGACATCTCATTGTACCTCCAAACATAAAAAAAAAAGGGATGGACCGGACCTACCCAACAAAACATGGAACGAGCCCATTCTGTGTCAAAAATCAGACACGGACCCAACCATAAGTCCTCTTGTTTTTTTTTTTAATAAATGGCAACCATAAGTCCTGCAACCAAATAGTACCGATTGAATCCCTGACAAAGAGGGCCCAGTTCTGCTCCACCCTCCAGGCGGACGCGGAGTCACGGACCCACCCCGAGCAAGCCGGCCTCTCTCTCTCTCTTCCCCTCCCAGTGTGCGCACTCCCTCCCTCTCTCTCTCTCTCTCTCGGTC